TTGAGGTCGCCATTTGCTTGGTAATTTTTTTTTCAGTCTTTGATTTTGGAGTCTTCCTTTTTTAGATGTCTCTCTTTTAGGCAACATATTGATGGGCTTTGGTTTTTTTATCCATTCTCCTACTCTTTTTTTCTCTTAATTGGTACATTTAGTCCATTCATATTAAGTGTGATTATAGTCAGGCCGAGTTTTACTTTTGCCATTTTATCATGTTTCTTGTTTCTGTTGTTTCTGGTTACTATAGCCCATTTACTTTCCTTTGGCATCTTGGTGTGTAGGACTTCACTTAAAATTTCTTGTAGTTTTGGTCTTGTTTTCACAAATTCCTTAAGGTACTTCTTTTCTGCAAAGAATCTAATTTCCCCTTCAAATTTGATAGAGAACCTTGCTGGATAAAGGATCCTTGGCTGGCAATTGTTATCTTTTTACTTTCTGTATATGGCATCCCATTCTAGCTCGCATGGTTTCTGCTGAGAAATCAGAACTTAATGTAATTGTTTCCCCTTTGTAGGTAACTCTTTGCTTTTCTCATTCTGCTTTTAGAATTCTATCCTTTTAATTTAAAAAAATTTGACTATGATATGTCTTGGTGTTTTTCTTTTGGGGTCTAAGTCTATTTGGTGTTCTCTATACTTCTTGGATGTGGATTTCCCAATTCTTCAAAATATCCGGGAAATCCTTTTCTAATACTTCTACAATCTTCTCAGTGACTTCCCTGTTCCTCCTGTGTTCTGGAATTCCAGTCCTATGTATATTATTCCGTTTGATATCATCCCACGTAATTCTAATGTTTTCTTCATTTTCCTTATGTCTCGTCTTTGTTTTTTTCTTCAAGTAGGTTTCTAGTGAGGCTTTTGTCTTCCAGCTCACTGACTCTCTGTTCCATCTCTTCAATTCTTCTTTTTTTGTCCTACTATCATGTAGGACACTTCTGCCATTTCAGTCTTAATATTCTCGATTGCATTTTCATGCTTTTCTGCTACTTCCAGTACTGTGTTGGCTGTACCCTCTCTCTCTTATGATGATTTTTTTTTTAATTTCTTGTACCTCTTTGTCTATTCTATCAATGTTTTTCTTCCATCTTTTGTATTTTCATCAATATCTGTTCAAGTTTCTCCTCATCTATATATTTCTTCTGGATTATTTTCTCTGAATTATTTGCTCTCTTTTTGACTTCCATTGTTTCTTCCCACGTTTGCATCTTTTTCTGTAGCTGATCAAGCAACTCTATATCATCATATTTCTTCTGATACTCTGTATCTGGGGTATTTGTTGGGTCTGCTTTTTTAGGAGAAGGGTTATTATTTTGTTTCTTCATAACAGCTGATGTGGATTGCTGCTTTCTTGACATTATGGAGTCTTAGTATATATTAGGTTGTTATAACTATAAAATTAACCAGGATACAGCAATGTTTTGTGAAACACCTATATATTTGTGTTTCGTTCTTGGCCCAAGACCTGTAAAGCCACGGGCCAGACAGTAGATTGTTCACCAAAGTACCTGACTGAGCACTGAGGAAGTCTATTTTTCCCTTCTGGAAGTGACTTCTCACCTCTGTTGAGGGTCCCAGGACCTCCTGTTGCCTGAGTTAGGAATCCTGTACAGTCAGGTCTTATAGCAGTTTGTTCCCAAAAATACCTGAGTGAGCACGGAGGAAGCCTGTTGTTCCCGTCTGGAAGTGGCTTGTCACCTCTTCCGAAGGGTCCAGGACCTCCCTGTTGCCTGAGTTAGGGATCCTGTGTGGTCAGGTCTTATAGCAGTTTGTTCCCAAAAATACCTGAATGAGCATGGAGGAAGCCTGTTGTTCCCATCTAGAAGTGGCTTGTCACCTCTTTCGAGGGGTCCAGGACCTCCCTATTGCCCAAGTTAGGGATCCTGCGTAGTCAGGTCTGACAGCCGTTTGTTCCCCAAAGTTCCTGAGTTAAGGAGTCCCACATGGTCAAACTAGAGAGCAGTTTTCCCCAAAAATAACTGTGGGAGCAGCGCAGGCAAATGCTGTCACATCGTGTGCTTCCTGCCCCATCCAAAGGGTCACCTTTAACAGTACTTGAAGACAGGACAAATGGAATTGCAAGTTACTTGAAAGGCCTAACTAAGCTAACTATTGGTGTACCACAGTTGTACCTGATTTCATGTTGCGTACATGAACTAGTATTGAAACATTCATGTAAAGGTCATTATGGAAATGGACTATTATATATCTCCTTTGTGTGTCTCATTAGTTTAAAGCACATAATTTTTTTAATTGTTCTAATGGAAGAAGGCTAAATGAATACTATAATTGAAAATATATTTTAAATCTTTGTCATAAGGGTTTTTAAAAAAAAAATTATAAATTGTATCATTCTGGTTACACAACAATTTACGAGTGGTTTTAAATAAAGTTTATACTTCTTAAAAAAAGGAATTTGTAGCTTGTTCAAAATGTCAAGTGTCGAAACTTGTCAAAATGTCTGTGGTCCATGGGAGAAAGATTATATGTCCCTCCAATCAGGATTTACAGCCTTAAAATTCAATCTGCATATTCAGTGCAATTCCAATCCGTATAATGAATTAATTTTTCAGGAAGACCTAAAGGTTAATTGCCAGGTTTATTTGGAAAGGAAAAAGACCCTGTATAAGAAAATAATTTCTGAAAAACAGAAATGAAGTGGGAGGCATAGCACTCCCTGACCTCAAAACTTATTACACAGCAGAAGTAATCAAAACAAAATGGTACTGGTACAATGACAGGCACATAAATAAATGGAACAGAATCGAGAATGGAGAAATGGACCTCTCTATCGAGGGTACACTGATAAGTGACAAGGAAATAAAACCTATCAAATGGGGAAATGAAAATCTATTCAACAAATGGTGTGGACAAAGGTGAACTGCTACCTGCAGAAAACTGTAACAGGATCCATATCTCACACCATACACAAAAATCAATTCATAGTAAATCAGAGGCTTGGGAGTAAGGCTCACAACCATAAAATTCAGAAGAGACATACTGGGATCAAGCTTAGAATGCTTAGTCTATGATATAAAGAGGCTGACAAATACAGCCAGAAATGCACAATCTGGAGAGGATAAAATTGATGTATGAAACCTTTTAAAGAATATATCTCTGTAATCATCAAAAAGTTTTTTCAACATGGTGAAAAGAAAGCCTACCAACTGGGAACAAGCATTTGGCAATAGCATCTCATTCAAGGATTTTGTAACAAATTTCACAGAATACTCCTGACCTATAGAAGAAAAAGATAGATAACCGAATTACAAAATGGACAAATGACACAGAAAGCCGTTTCACAGAGTAAGACATTTGGATGACCAATAGACACTTGAAAAAAGCCTCAAAATCATTGGCCGTAAGAGAGATATAAATCAAAACCACAATGAGATACCACCTTACCCCAGTACTAGTGGCAAAGTTTAGCAGGGCAGCAAACAATAAATATTGGAGAAGTGGGAACTCTAACACACTGTTGTTGGCATTGCAAAATTATACAACCAGTCTGGAAGGCAGTTTGGTGTTCTCTCAATAAGTTAAACATAGAAATTTTGTATGACCTAGCTATTTCACTACTAAAAATATGTTGTTGTTGTTGTTGTTGTTGTTGTTGTTGTTGTTGTTGTCACTTGCGACTCTATGTACAACAACCCTAAACCGTGCCCTATCCTGTGCCAATCTCATTGCCTCTGACACACCCATCCCGATTACCCCAGTCACTGAATCAATACACCTCATAGAGGGTCTTCCCCTCCTGCGCCGTCCCTGTACTCTACCCAGCATGATGTCCCTCTCTAAAAACCTGTCTCTCCTTACAACATGTCCAAAGTATGTCAGACGAAGCCCCAGAATCCTTGCCTCCAAGGACCAGCCTGGTTTAATCCTCTCTACGATGAATCTGTTTGTTTTCTTGGCAGTCCATGGTACATTCAATACTCTTCTCCAGCACCACAGCTCAAAGGCGTCAATTCTCCTTCTATCTTCCCTAGTCATTGTCCAACTCTACTTCAAGGAAATTAAAACAGAGACACAGTCTGTATGCCAATGTTCTAAGCAGCATTATTCATCATAGCAAGAACATGGAAACAGCCCAGATGTCCAACTACAACTAAATGGATTGAAAAATTGTGATACATTCACACAATGGAATACTATGCAGTACTCAGGATCAATGATTTCAAAAATATTACATAACTTGAGAGACTGGAGAGAATTATGCTGAATGAAAGGAACTCAGTATTACAAGGACAAATACTGCAAAATACCATTATTGGAAAAAATTGAAGAATAACTAGTAAAACATGTATGGGGGCCCGTAGAGGAAGGGGTGGGACCACAGGAGTCAGGGTGGGTAGGGGAGAAACCATAGGATTGCACAGTTTGGTAGGTAGAGGGAGGGGGTGAAGGAAATGGGAAGGATCCGGCAGGGACCTGAAAAGGTTGAATGATGATGGGCACCAAAGGTGATTGATTTTATAAAGAATAATGCATGTGAATGATTGTAAGAAACACAATATGAAGGAAGCATAGTGTGAAACACAATACATACAAACTTTGTGAGCAAACCAATATAAAATAAAAACAAACAAAAACCCAGTAGAAAGTTGTTATGAATTGGAATGTACTAAAGGACAAAGATTTTGCTGTATGGACTGATAGTTTGGAACTGGCCAGTGGCACTTTGTGAGACAAGCATGGCATTCTGCTTCCAAAAAGGGCAAGGTAATGAAAAGCCTCTGGAGAAATTAATCTCTTCCATACACAACATCACCATGAATCAGAATCAACTTGACAATGTGACTCTCAACAGCATTGCTAAATAGAGTACACTTAGGGAGCCCCCAGAATGATGTTAGCCATTTGTTTGGCATGAGTGCTTTTCTTTTAGGCCTTAGCTCTGCCACTGATGTTGGGAATATGGGCAAGAGGAAATCAAACTCCAAGTATATGTTTTTGTTGCACCCATAATCCCATTTAACCATTTTTTTCCTCTTGGTTCTGCAGTCTGATGGCACCATTCTGGCCATTGCCCTGCTAATCCTGTTTCTGCTCCTGGCTCTGACTCTTCTCTGGTGGTTCTGGCCCCTCTGCTGCACAGTGGTAAGTACCCCAAGGTCTTCTTTCTTGCCTCAGGTCTAAGGATGGACAAGATAAAGGATGGCATAAAATTATTGAAGTTAACAGAACAATGTTTATGGGTGAAAGAGTACCAAGTTTGTAAAAGTTGAATACAAATTATGCATATTTTTATACTATACATATAAGGTTGGTGTAAGTTAACACCAGTTGAAGCCATGATTTATTAGGTACCAAGGACTGGGGTTACCAATAGGTACACTTTTTGGGTTTACCAGGGGTGGCCACTCTGAGCTTTGTGCTCAGGAAGCAGCCTATTAGAGCCTACCAATGATGTGTGCTATTGGACATGAAAAAGGATGGGATAGAAGTGGTGCAATATACACACAACTTGCTGAGTTAATCCAGCAGATACTCTTCTGCATTCACTATGGTTGTAAAGCAACAAATTTTCTCATATGACAAAGTGCATGAGACCTCTTTCTCTCTTTTTTTTTTCCTTTGACATCTTTATTTTTAACCACAAAGAGTGGTACCTGCCTCTTTGATTTTTTTGGAAAACAATAATAGACTCTACCTACTATATAGCTCGCACTAGGCTAAGTAATATAATTACAAGATCCTATCCTCAAAGGATAGGAAAAGAAACTTAACAGAGGTGCAGAAAGAAACTTAACAGAGGTGCAGAACATTTAAATTATATTATCATTCAACTGGACCTTGTGAATGTATTAAGTGTACTGTACCCAACCAAAAACAAATTTACTTCTCAAGTGCACATGGTACATACTCCAGAACTGACCACATATTAGGACACAAAGTAATCCTCAATAAATTAAAAGACATTAAAATAATACAAAATATCTTTTCAGACGACAATACCATAAAACTGAAATTAACAACAAGAAGGTAAAGCTTAAAAGACCACCTACATGGAAGCTCAGTAACACTCTACTAGAACATGATAGAATAAAAACTGAAATTTAAAAGCTCCTATAAATAAATGATAATGAAAATATACCAAAACCTCTGTGACCTCTGTGATATAACTAAGGCAGTCCTCAGAGGACAATTCATAGCAATAAGCAAACACATAAACAAGGAAGAGAGAAGAAGCAAAATTAATGACCTAACTCAACACCTCCATCAAATTAAAAAAGAACAACAATCTAACCCTCAGCCTTTAAAAGAAAGGAAATTCTTAGGACAAGAGTAAAAATCAGTGAGATAAAAAACGAAAAATATTTTGAACCATCAACAAGACCAGGAACTGGTCTTTCAAAAGAGTTTTGAAATAGGCATACTATTTGCAAAGTTAACAAAGGAAAAGAAAACAAGACACAAATAACTTGAATAAAAAATTATAGAGGTAGAAAAAAATTAAAAAAAATTATAGAGGTAGCATCACAATAGAACCAGAGAAAAAGAAATAAAAAATAGTAGAATATCATGAAAAGTTATAGTCTGACAAATTTGAAACTCTGGAGGAAATGAACAAATTTCTTGAAACTCACACTTACCCACATCAACACAAATCGATATAGAACACTTAATCAGACCCATCACAATAGAAGAAAATAGGCCATAAAAAACACTCCCCCACAAAAAAAGTCCTGGGCCAGATTACTTCATAGTAGAATCCTACCAGACATTCAGAGAAGATTCATCATCAATTCTACTTAAATTATTTCAATAAAATAGAAAAAGGAAGAACACTCCCACTTTTTTAAAGCAAGCATAACCTTAGTACCAAAAAATAAAACTGTAGACCAATATCTCTCATGAGTATAGATGCAAAAATCCTAAACAAAAAATTAATTCATCATGATCAAGTGAGATTCATAACAGGTAGGCAACGATGGTTCAACAACAACAACAAAAGTAAATGTAATTCATCACATCCACAAAACAGAGAACAAGAACCAACTGATCTTGTCACTTGAGGAGAAAAGGCCTTTGAAAAAAATCTGAAGCCATTAGAGAAAGAGTGTAGGTAAATAATTTTAAGGGTTGACCTGATAGTATTACAACATGAAGACAGTAAAACTAGAGTTTTCCACTTAAAAAATAAAAATTCCCAGGTCAAAATAGAACTGAAGAGCTGGCAAAAGATATTGTATACAATGTGATTGAAAGATAGTATGAAACATAACATATATGAACTTTGTAAGCAAACCAATATAATTTTTAAAAAAATCCAAAATACCTACCTAATTAAAACACTCAGCAAAACAGAAATAGAAGGGATTTAATTTCCTCAACATAGTGAAAAGTATAAATTCAAAACTAAGAGCTATCATCATTCTCAATGGAGAAAGAATAAAGGCATTCCCCTTGCAAAAGAGGATGCTTTTTTTCTATCACTCTTCTTCAATATTGTGTTGGAAGTTCTTGCTAGGGCAGTATAACAAAAGGAAATAAAAGGCATCTGAATTGGAACAGAGGTGGTAAAATTATATGCAGATGTCATGATAGTGTACACAGAAAACTCCAAGAATTCAACAACAACAACAAAACCCTCTTAGACTTAGCATACCAGTTTAGTAGAGTGACACGATATAAGATCAATATACAAAAATTAGTGACATTTCTTTACAGTAACAAAGGACACATGGAAAAGGAAACTAAGAAAGCAATACTATTTAGAATAGCCAACCACAAACTGAGCTACTTGGAAGTAAGTAGAGATACAAAATACCTTTAGAAAAATAGTTCAAGAAACATTAAGAGACATAACTAAATGGGAAAATATTTTCTGTTCATAGATAGGAAGACTTGATATAGTGAAAATGATAATCCTTCAAAAGCATTCTACATGCTCAATGCAATCTCAATAGAGATACCAAATTCATTTTTCAGGATCAAAAGGGACATTGTTAATTTTATTTGGAGAAGAAGGAGACCCTGAATAAGCAAAGCACTTATGAAAAACAAGAATGAGGAGGCATAGCAATTCCTGATCTCAAAATTTACAACACAGCGGAAATAACCAAAAGAGCATGATAGCATTCTAAGAAGATGGCGCCGAAAGCTAAGAAGGAAGCCCCTGCCCCTCCCAAAACTGAAGCCAAAACAAAGGCATTAAAGGCCAAGAAGGCAGTCCTGAAGGGCATCCACAGCCGAAAAAATAGAAGATCCACACGTCACCCACCTTCCGGCGGCCTAAGACACTGAGACTCCGAAGGCAGCCCAAATACCCCTGGAAGAGCGCCCCCGGGAGAAACAAGCTTGACCACTATGCCATCATCAAATTTCCCCTGACCTTTGAGTCAGCTATGAAGAAGATAGAAGATAACAACACACTTGTGTTCATTGTGGATGTCAAGGCCAACAAGCGTCAAATTAAACAAGCTGTAAAGAAGCTCTATGACGTTGATGTGGCTAAGGTCAACACTTTGATTAGGCCTGATGGAGAGAAGAAGGCCTATGTTTGACTTGCTCCTGATTATGATGCTTTGGATGTTGCCAACAAAATTGAGATCATCTAAACTGAGTCCAGCGTGCTAATTCTAAATATAAACTTTTATTACAAAAAAAAAAAAAAAAAAGAGCATGATACTGGTACAATAAAAGAGACATAGACCAATGGAAAATACCGAGAACCCAGAAATTATCTCATATGTTTACATTCAGCTGGTGTTTGACAAGAATACAAAGCCTCTGAAATGGGGAAACAACAATCACTTCAACAAATGTTGCTGGCAGAACTGGACTTCTACCTGCAGAAAGCTAAAGTAAGATCCACATCACACATTATATTAAACAATCAACTAAAGATGGACCAGAGACATAAGGGTAAAGCCAAATCCATAAAGATCATAACAAACAAAATGAAACCACGCTTAGAAGGCCAAGCCTATGTTTTAAGGAAGCTAGCAAATACAACCAGAAATGCACCACTAGAAGATAACATCCATGTATGGGACCACCTAGAGATTAAATCCTTTGTGCATTAAAAGCCTTTTCCAATATGGTAGAAAGAAAACCTATTGATTGGGGGAAAAACATTTGACAATTCCATCTCAGATTAGGGTCTCATAACGAAAGTCTACGGAATCCTTCAGGGTCTCTACAAGAAAAAGACTGATATCCCAAATACAAAATGGACAAAAGACATGGAAAGACTTTTCACAGAAGAAGACATTTGGATGACCAGCAGGCACATGAAGAGATGCTGAAAATCACGGTCAATAAGAGAAATGCAAACACAAACCATAGTGAGAGACCATCACACACCAGTAGCAGTGACAAAATTTAATGGAACAACAGTCAAATGTTGAAAGGGAAGTCGAGAGATTGGAACTCTCATACACTGTGGATGGGATTATAAAATGATACAACCACTCTGGCAGTTTGGCATTTTCTCAGAAAGCTGAACATAGAAATTCCATATGACCCAGCTATTCCACTGCTAGAAATATATGACAAGGAAAGGAAACTGAGATACAAATGGAGATTTGTATACCAATGTTCAAAGCAGTCTTATTCACAATAACAAGAAAATGAAAACAGCGAAAATGTCCATCAACAATTGAATGGATTGAGAAATTGTGGTACATAGGAGTAAACCTAATGAAAGAAATAAAGACCTTAATAAAGAAAACTACAAAACATTACTGTCATAATGACACAGCACAGCCACAAGCAGGAGAAAGACTTTCACAGCTTTCTGCAAGAGAGAGGGCTGAATTGAAGACCCCTCCATGCATACAAACTGCGTAAGTCGGTGGCCCTGAGTCCCTCTACTCTGGAAACAAAGAAGGACACTAAGCTGCAGAAGAAAAGTTGAAATATGTGAGGCTCTGTGCCAAGAATGAACATTCTCTACTGCTTGTGGGGAAATGGGGCTGAGGCTACTCTGGGGATATAGGTTCCTCCATTTGGGGATCCTTGCCTCTATGGCTGTGGGGCCATCCCAGGGGCCAAACAGGACAAAAGACTTTGGGACACAGAGCTACAAGCAGAGGAAAGACTTTCTCAGCTCTGTACAAGAGGAAGGGTTCACTTAAGACCCATCCTGCACA